TTACTGATATGATCTGGTGAAAATAATAATATGGCCTGCGAGAAAATAAATAAAAAGAGTGGGGCTGCTATGAGTGCAGGCAGCCTATAGGAACAGCATAGTTCAACTCAGTGGCATGACAACACCGGCACTCGCGGCCCAAAAAACAGACCGGCCCACCGGGAATCCTCCCGGTGCTCCCAATTAGCCAATCCGGGCCTGATATATATATATATATATATAGACTTGATTATGGTGAGATCACTGTCTCTGTGTGGAGTACTGGCTGTTGTCAGACTCCTTGTGCATATAAAAATCTCACTGGATTATTACAATTAATGGCAGAATAAATGTTTGGAAATGTGAACTGATATTTCCTACTGACACACTACAGCAAAAAATAGAAATGACTGATTTAAAACTTTTTTTAATAATAGTGGCCTAAATCTTTTGCACAACTATTTACACAGTACATATTTAACACATCACATACATCTCGTATTGCATCTCTTGCATGTTCTTCAGTGACACTTCTGTTTAGATTTTAGTTAAAAAATATTGTATATATATTTAAATATTGACAGGGTCTGGTATTGGGTTAAGGAATAAAACCTATACATAAGTATCAAAAATAAAGGATGAGGGCATGGTAAAAGCTTTAATGTGATTTATACATAACAGAAGGAAAATCTGTTAGTTTTAATAAAAACAAACCATCAACCACTTATTTTCTTCCAAAATAAAAATGGAAGATACTGTATGTGGTTGATGGTTTTTGTATGTGATTGTATATAGTTGAGTTGGTTTTAGTAAGACTTATAAAACCTTAAAAACCTTATAAATTCTCATGAATATTTTTTGAAAATGATCTTCTATCTGTCCTGCATAAAAAAAAGAAAACAAAAAATGAAGGGTGGTTTGTTGAGTGGCGTGGTTTGACCATGAGTCATGAGAGTGTCTGGAACATGATGGGGATTCACATCAAGCTGCCACATTAGAAAAACCGACAGCACTGTGAGAGCCTCTAGCCCTACATCACAACTTTCAGCATTCTTGTCTGTTATGTACAATGCTGAATATGCTATAAATCAAATGCACTTTGTCATTTCACATGGCACAACATCTGTTGGCAACGAATAAGCACATAACCCAACAATCTCAAACTGTGCCATCTTACCATTGTCTTTTTATCTCTCTTTCTCAGGGAGTGAAGAAGAGCGGTGGATCATGTGGGGGGAGAGACTGCAGCGGAGGGTGTCAGTGTTTTCCTGAAAAGGGTGCGAGGGTAAGTTTCATCCTAGCCCATCTCAGCATCTTTATCCCTCCTGTGCTACTGTGAGGAATGGGAATCAGTCTCTCGAGACTGATCTCTGGTGCAGTGAGAGCAGCTAGCCCGGTGCCCTGTAGCTGCGGGACGGCAGGGGGCAACCGCATCGGCTGCTCTGGAGACTTCCGCGGAGGCGGTGAGCCAAGGCTTGGAATCAGGAGAGATTCCTTTAAGAGAATACGGCCAAGAGCCTAGGTTGTCATCATACCAGACTTGGCCTGTCACACAGGGGCTACCGCACTTCTTGTGCTGAACGACCTGTCTCAACAGACCTCTAGTAGCAACACCCTGTCAAAGTAGGCATCCAGAGGATACCTAG